CAGGTGTGTATTTTAAGTACTTTCTGTTTTCATCATAATTTTACTTTTTTATGCTGTAGACTATTGCTGTATCCATGTGATATGTTCAAAGGTGATATACATTGATTTGTAGTTTTGGGTAAAACATGAAAGATTTTAAAAATGACTCGTGTTTTGACTTTTATACTTGTCATTTTTTAGGTTTTTGAAAAAATGTCAGATCCACACTGGTTAGATTTTAAAGATGCTTAAATTTGCTTTGAGTTCTCTAGGTTAAGTTTCAATTCAACATTTCCATGTACTGAAGCATTAATAAAGTTTATACTGTAACTCAATTTTCAAGCAAATGTTTAACTGAAAAAAATTCAAAGACTTGTTGTATAAAGCTACCCTACCCTTCAAAGTAAAATCAACAGGTTTGTGTGTTCCCGAAATGCTTTCACAAATCGGTTTATAAAAAATTTCAGTTGAACAGTGATTTTTTTTTAAAAATAAAAATTCTGTTAGGGACAGACAATCCTACTGGGTGTCCAGCAGAATACGCGGCAGCTCGATGGGTTGCCTACGCACTAGCGAGCAGGCGCGGAGGGCGAGGGGGAATCTGAAGAGGTGGTGGGGCGGGGGCGGGAGGCAACCGGCCGGCTCCACGTCCCTGTTCGTTGCTACTGTACATAGTTGTAGCTACAACCGCCACGGCCACCGGCCACAGGCACCGGTACAAATAAAAGTCCATTTAGGTATAATCTTTCCTTTTTTAATAACAAAGTGCACATTGCAACATTCCATTCATCATCAGATCATGGAAGGTAAGTCACAATAAACCCCCTCATCCTCCACACAAGGTCACTTAATCAGTCTGGCTATTGATTACAGCTGCCACACCACCAGTCACTAACACAATACATGTGCAAGTCTTTTGTGTAGAGGATACAGAGGGTATTTATTTCACCACAACATACGTATCAAAACATGAATTGTGAGATAGTTAGATTTCTAGAACTAAAAAAAGCAGGCATAGTTTTACAGTAATCATTAGACAAGAAAACCAGCTAAATACTTATCAATATTGTAACACAACAAAATAGCTTTCAGAGCCGTACACAAAGATTTTACATGATTGATTGAGTGAGCAATATGTTTCAACAATGAAGATATTATAAGCTTAACTCCATTTAAAGCGAATTAAAGTACCATATTCACCTGATAGTGAGACCCCCTCCCCTACTATTGAGGACCCAAGTGCTGGAGGCAAATAGTCTTAATACCACCCCCTCCCCCCCTTTTCAGAGGCAAATATTCGTGGGGGAAAGAGGTCTTTCATTCAGGGGAATATGGTGACTTTCGAAGAACTTGACATTAAACTGACAACTACACAGAGCAAACTGACTTCTGACATCGGAACAGCGTTGTTTCAATATTAATAAAAACAAAAATCAGTTTGCATTGCGCATAACACAGGAGCAAGGCAATGATTTTAAGCAAAGAGTAGACTGAAAACTAAAGATTGATTTACAAAATTCACAGTTAATACATGTCTAATAGATTGTTTTAAAAAATTGCTAGTTTAATTAATCAAGCACACATTTTGAGCATTAAAACATATTCCAAATACAACAATGAGTGGTAAAGCAGCCAAACAGTAATATTAATATCAGTAAAACATAAGTTCTCTGGACTTAACAAACCAGATGTCAAGAAAACATGATCCTCAAAAACACAGTCTGACTTAGCTGCTAGAAGTAGAATCATCCAGTAGAGTACAGATACACTCAGAATCACAGAGTCAATGCCATAGCACTTCCAGATATTTCTCAGTCTTGAGTCTGCAAACCTTCACTTTTATAACAAACGGGATTTCAAGATTGATTACAGTCATAATAGTTCCTTGCATAATGCAATAAAATATTTATAATAAACAAGCTATTTCTTAAGAAATTTGACAAACCGCACAGCAAGGTAAGGTCACTCTCTTATCAACTCAGCCTACAGATACTTTTAAAAAAGAGAAAAATTCACCCCAATTGAGTATTATTGGATTAAAAACTGGTTATTAACCAGAACAAAACCCAGAACAACTCAAAATATATTAACAAGACAGTGAAATCAAGTTGAAAAATATGAATATCTATCAAATCACTCAACGAAAGGTTCTTTTTTCAATATTTTTTCAATGTATTGTGATCAACAGTTATTTGGTTTTTAAGTTAGAGTTGTGCTCTAAATAAAAGACAAAATAGTTCTCTTTAAAGTTCATGCCATTGACCAGCAATTTGCGGTGCTCCCTTGTCCATGGAACGTGACACATATTCACGAATGCCATGAGATAGCCATATATGTTCTAGTTCTCTGTACAATTCTGGAGACAGTTGCAGACGGTTTCCTCTTCTAAGACCTTGATCAGTTTCTCCATAATCATCAACATATGGAGGTGTCATGAAAGTTCCACGATTTGGTAATGCTAGCACTAGCACCTAAAATCATATGAGAGTAAAAATTAACTCCAATTCAAAAATTAAAATTCCATAACAAACCCGTCAAAGGATCTCATGCCACTAACCTGGCATCTCCTCACTTGTAGAAAAAGACCACATCCTGCTCCACACTTCACTGCGTGATATGTGCATGATCCCACTTGAACAGCATCAAGTCTATGTACACAGCATGAAGTTTGGGAGCACAACATCTCTCCACAAACAAGGCACATAGTTGGGCACCGTGACTCTACTCTATCATGACAGTAAAATTCTAATACTGAACATAGGAGCTCACTATAATCTTCAGGAAGTGGCACAAGTCGATTAATTTTTAGTGGTGATGTAAAGACCTAGACAAAGAAAATGACAACACAAAAATGAAAGTATCAAAAAATAATAAAGAAGAAATGAATTGCAAGTTCATTATTCATGTTTCCTATACCTCTAGCTCTCCACTTTTCCTGAAAAGTGTTTGTACCCTAGGATGATTGGCCCAATGAATGACCAAGGCTTGCATTGTGTCATCAAAAATGGTATTCCTCCAGCTATCACTGATGCCAAGATAAGAACACATGTTATCAAATGTGTCACCACCTTGAGTTGTTAAAACATCCCTTGCTGGGACTGTCGTCAGGAAGTGGAAAAAGAGAACGCAGCATCGTAGGAAGGGCTGACAATACTCCTTTACCTAAAAGAGAGAACGGTTACAATAACTCACTGTCAAGCCTCCTCTAAACACAATATAAGCAATAGATAAGAACATCTACCCACCAATTTTGCGACTGTCTTTGGGCTGGGTAACAATTCAGTCGGCATGCATATTTGATCATGTAATAAAATCAACAAATCATGCAAAGCTGGACAAAAATCGTCTGATGATTCAAAAGATTCTCCACTTGCAGCATCCATTTCATCAACTTCCATTGTGTCATCTTCAATCTTCTTACCATTTATTAATGCTCTGCATAAAAAACAAAAAAGTTATTTTTTTCCCAAAACAAAGAAAATAGAAAGGCGAAATATAAAATTCAAGCACTAAATAGCCTTCAAATCTAAATTAGAAGTGTGATATTGCACTTACTGGCGACATATATAAATCAGGGCTTTCATAATCTCCATAAAGAGAGCAAGCCTAAAAGCATATATTTCGTATCCTCCACCTGAGGGAACTGTCTGTTTAGACATCAGAAAAACTAATGGGACCATTACCCCAAAGCTATCCCAGTCAAGTAGACAACCTTGATCAGGATTGATGTTTAACAAGAGATTAAAAATCATACGTGCATGTGTATTATGCAACATAGGCTTTGACCATGCTGTTGTCAAAATTGCCATCATTCGAACTAGACCTTTCAGGCAGTCATTCTGACGCAAAGACAGATTTCCTAACAAGGGTTTTCCTTCATCTCTCAACAAAACTTCAAGTGAATGAATAGTATATGCACAGCACTGCCAAGCTCGAAGAGTAGACATTTCTGTTTCCCCATCCATCTCCCGAGTGGAGCACTTTTCATCAATTCTTTCAACAAATCTTAAAATCATGTTGACCAAGTCATCTGATAACTTTACTTTAGGAAGTTTGTGGACAGGGGTACCAGTGCTACTACATGGTGCACTGAATGAATCTGGTTCAAGTAGCTGTCTTTTAGCATGTTTAACTTCTGAGTCCGAATGAGATGTAGATTCATCATCCTTCAAAGAAAAAGAAAACATTAAATGATTTTTTAATTAAATTATAGGTTGAGGTAAGATCACATTAGTATAATTAGTTCTACCTCGTCTGAGGAATGTCCCTCCGAGTGCTGCTGCACCGGCAATGGCCTTGGTTGGCTTTGAGGTTGAGCTGCATCATTTGAGGGTTTTGGTGGTTCTGTTACAAGCGGAGCTGATGTTGCTGTGTTGTTTCCAGATAAGATTTCTTCAACAGTTGAAAAAAGAGCTGCTTGTTGTTTTGCTGCTGGAGGGATATCAATGGTGTCTAGTAACTCCATGGCATGATTCCAATCCGATTCATTATCATGAGGCAAATGTGGTGTCTTCTTGACGTCAATAAGCCAAGATTTAAATGAAATGGAAGTGTCACCAATTGACACATTACGGATGGAGGTATCAGGTACCTTCTCCATTTTGACAGAATTATTGATAATTGGAGTTTGGGGAATGAGGGGCAAGACTGTATTGCTAAGACAATTACAGAGAGGACAAAGAAATTCCTTATGTTCAATATCAAAACTTGCAGGCTGCCTGATTCTATAAGGTCTACGACTTTCTTTGGCTTGGACATTATCATAGTATTGCTTCCAGCAAGTGGAGTGCATAACATGACCACATGTACTAGCATAAGGAGCAGGTCCTAAGTATGAAGAAAGGAACAGTTCATGCTGTGGCACAGATTCATCATACTTCCTTGCCATAACAACTGACTTCTGAACATAAGCAGCTAATACCAGAGCTGTTCCTGAACAAGAGACTGCCTGCTCTTCCTGGCATAGTATACAAATGTAGTTTTCTACTTGTGCTTGAACAGGTGTCTGGTTTGGGCCAATTGCGACAGGGGGCTTTTCACTTATTTCAATGGTATCCATATCTTCTTCTTGAACATTTTGCTCACTATCTTTTTCCATTTGAAATAAACTAGCATTTTCTTTCATAAAATTCTTTTGCATGGCAGTCATTTGGGCCATAACTCTCGCCCTTTTCTCTGCAGCCATCTTTGCTCTCCATTCTTTGTCCTTATCGGTTGTCTGTTGTACCTGTGTCTGAGGGGTTGGTGTGACTACTTCTAAAGATGAAGAACCTTCTTTGACAGATCTGTATTTTGTCAAAACCCACTTCAACAAGTCTTTCAGAGTTTCTAGAGGGGCACAATTCAGCAAATCTTCCATCAATTGTTCAATATTCCAGTTATTTGCACGTTCTGTGAATTTTAAGAACCCATCAGGCTCCTTTTCTTGTTCCTGAAGAGCATGACCAATCAGATGAAGAGCCATGTGTAACTGAAGCTCTGATGAATGTTGGGCACCAATGTGCAATGAACGCTCCAAGATTAATTTCAGTATGTGCAACATAACATCACATTGGAGTAGGTTGAGAACCATTGTAAAAGGAGGGCACAACTGAGGTAGAGGTGGAGGAGGACAGCAATCCATCCCATTTTTCTCTTTGTTTTTTCTCCTCAAAATCTCCTCGGCATGAGTGCGGTCTTCTGCATCAAAGTGGTAGAAAAATACATTGCAGTCTGCATAATGCTTTTCCTTTAGCTCATATACACCTACTTTGTTGCTAGGTCTTTTGAAATCAGCAACTTCATCAATAACTGATTCTATTCTAGCCTCTTGTAAATGTTTATGGCCAAATGGAAAGGCCCTGTAAAGCTCTGAATGTGAAAGTGGTCCAGCACACAATAACTGGATTATTTCTTTTTTCATTTGGTCATCATCAGTCACCATACCAACACCAGGAGTGTATCGTTCTGTTACTAATATGACGAGGAGTCCCAAGAATTCTTCAAGGATGCGAGTTGTATTTACAACAGACTCTGAATCACGAGTTTCCATAAAATTTGCATCAGCCCATTTCAGCAAGTTAAACTTATGCAGCAGAATAATGAGAAACTCATTGCTTTCAATTAATGAGGCACAAATTTGAATCATGCAAATGTCTCTATCTTGCATCTCATTACGGTTGGAAGGACTCCGATATTTTGCTACCTGGGTCAAGATTGAAAAGCCATTGCGGCGCCACATTCCAGCCCAAACCTGAGCAATCATTACTTGCAAACGAATAACAGGTTCAAGAAGAAGATGAGGTGTTGGCTTTGGCTGCTTTGCAGGTTGAAGTTCTGGACTATCAAAGTGCAACCCATATTTATCCAGTGCTAAATGTAGACCGGCAAGGAGTCTACTCAATGGTAGATAGATGGACACTGGTTCAACAGCAGGATCATAAACAATGCAGGTAGCACTGTGATTAGCCAATTCAATGACAGTGCTCACTGGTTGTGAATCCATAGGAGAGCATTCAGCCAATTTGGATAGAACCATCCGATATGCTTTGATAAGAACAACTCTATCAGTTGAGCACCAATCAACAACAAATGGGTAAATTTGTGCCATACTTTTGTGCAGGGCAAATCCTGTCTCATACTCTGGTTCATACTCTACATGCTGCCCAACTTGTCTTTTGAATGGCTCCATATCTTGCATGTGAACCATAAGGTCCAGCATTGTAGAGAGCCCTGCTAGAAAATTAAGCCTTAGCTCATCTGTCCACTCTTTAGGTTCAACAATAAGGAGATACTTGATATCATAAAATGTTTCCAATATTCTAAAGAAGGGATCAATTCTTCGGCCTATGAGGGACATTGAGTGGCGTTCAAAAGCAAACTTATTGTTGTCTTTCACTTTTGAATTGAACTCAGATGCAATTGTGTTCCACAAGATGAGGAGAGCTCTTTCCTCAGCAACAAGATAATGGGCAATAGTTGGTAAAGTGTATAACTGAACTGACAATGACAAAACAGACACTCGACGATCATGATCATCCCTTATGTACTCCTTGGTGATGCATCCATATCTTCTGGTGAATATTTTAGAAAAGGACTTTTTGATATCATATTCAATGAGCAAACCTGCCATGATTAAGCGGTGCCAAGCTAGACGAGCTGCAATCCACATATTAGCATCTTCCATTAGCACTCTTTCAGCGATTGATGATGATGTTGAACTTTCAAGGAAAACATTGGAAAATTCACGTCGAAATCCCGAGGAGGTCTGCACAATACTTTCCATCCAGTCCAACAGCTTTAAAGCAAAGATTTGATGAGCAACAACATCTGCGTGCAACACTTGTACTTTAAGCGGTTGTGTATGCTGTCTAGACGTGCATCGCTCAACTTCAGTTTTCATTTCAGTGCACTGCTGAAAACTACACACTTTAATCACAGCACGGCCCTCTCTATCAACTCTATTGACTAAATCTCTATAGACATCATTCATAACTCTTTGCATGGCTTCAAATACTTGATCAAATGTGTGACTTTCATCGTTGTAGAGCACAACACAATAAGTGTCTTCGACATCAAATTGAAGATGACTGTCTTCAGTTCTCTTAAGGTCAGAAGGCAAACTCAAAGAGTGCTTATGAGTTAAAAGCTCAAAAGCGTATGCTTGGACTATTTCAAAAACAGCGCGAGATCTTTGAGCAACTCCATCAGGGAAAATGTTGCTATCTGAATCATGCTTTCTCTTAGTCTCTTTATGTGTATCACAATAAGGTCCTGAGGACCATGCTTCAACATCACCACAATCACAGCGCCCATTTCCCAACGAGGTGTGCATTTTATATTTGTGATGTTGATGAACTGAATTTTTGAAGCAAAAGGCACACAAAACACATGTTGGGTCTGTTCCACACTCCCGGCACGAATATGCTGGTTCGCCCATTTTTAGGGTCCGACCACATAGTGGAGGTGAAGTAAGTCGATCCATCATGCTTTTAAGGTCATCACCACCACACATAAAATGCTCAAGAAGTTCAAAGAGAATCTTCTCGTGTTTATTGTAAGGCCAGTGAGGAACATCATTCTCACCTTTTTCTAATTGGAAAACTTTAGGGACACACTCTTTCCATAGGGCTCTTACGGCTGGTGTGAGTGATTGGCCATTCTCAACCATTTCAAGCCAGTTCTTCACATGACGGTCAGCATCTTCCAATTGGTGAAAGAGTTTTGATGGTTCATCCATTTCTTCAGATTGGGTCTCCATGGTTTAAGTTTTTACCGATGAATTATGTCACCTCTTCTAGAAAGGAAATTTATCTGAAACAGAAAAATCATGACAGATCCATTATGGCTAACCACACACCACATATTAAACATTTAGCACTAAGCACTTGAACAACAGAAGACATAAATACTGTCTATGGTACAATGAAAAGTAAGAGCCATCAACTAGCAGACTGACGGAAAGTTATTACAGACTGCTTAAGTGAAAACTAAAATAAACTGGAGAACAAAATAAAACCAATGAATCAAATAAAACAGAAATATATCTGAGATTATTTGCTAATAAACGATCAATGAAGGTAATGTTGTTGTTTTTTAAAAAAACAACACAAAAAACATGTCAATTATGCTTTCACTTTTTCAGACTAGTGGATTGTAACCTCTCCAAAAGTTACGCAAAATAATTATTAGGAAAAAAAAATAGGACTAGAGAATTTTTTGAAGAAGCAAATGGATTAAGCAATTGTCAGAGCTACCCAACACAAGGTGATCTACAAAAGGATGGCTAAACGTACTTCACACCAGGAAGTCATGTGTCCTAGCCAGTTCTAGCTAAAGGATGCATTGTGCTGAATCACAATACTTTCTTTACCAATGTACAAATCATAAACTTCACTTTATAAAGAATCACAGAACACAAAAAAGGGACTTGGAATTTTGGCAGCTCATGAACATCGACGGTACACAATAAATGACACGACCATGATGACATCTGCTTACTTCTCTTTCCAATGAACTGTTTGTGATAGGGTACCATCTGAGTACGTGCGTGGACTGCAGATTTTACGAACAAGAGCGTGCGAAATCCTTTAAAGACATTAACCCCAATGACAGCGCGATAATGTCTGACTTGTAGGGGAAACGTGTAGACAGTATTATAGTCTATTTTTAAATAAACGAGACGCAGATCAATAAGCCTAAAGTTGCACTCTAAATGGAGAAGGAAACACAAAAATTCTTACAGCCGTACCTGAGACAAAATAAACGGCAAATCTGGTGCACGTTCAGTTTTCAAAGGCAAAATTGACTTCGGAAACCAACTACAAAATCGGGAAAGGCGAAAGTTTTCATTGTCCTTTCCCTAATGGCGAAATCTACCTATACAACGGCAAGGAGAATAATTACCAGCTGTTTTCGACAGGTCAGCTCAGCAACCTGAGCAACAGTTATCTTTGCCAGCGGTGTTCGTGCTCTTATTGAAGATAGAAAACATTTACGGACAATTTAGTGTTTACTGCATACAAAAATAAATAACGGAGTTTCTTTCAGCTGAGAAATAACGATTATGGACAAAAATTCTTAGGGAAAATCTTAATTTTAATTTCCAATGTTGACAATCTGCTTTACTCTAGCAGACCGCACAATTTTTGGTATTATTGCAATTGAGATTGCTATTGGGCCGAGGTAAAAGTGGTCATATCCGGTCACACCCTCGTACACGATGCGTGATTGTGATTGGTCGAATGTTCTTCCGTTTGTAGTTTCTTTCTTGCTTTCGCGAGTAAGTATTTTCCTTCTTTTTCGGAATAAGAAAGAAAAGAAAAAGACAAATTCAAAATAATAGGTTGTCTGCCTTAGTTTGGTGCTTATTTTAACAGAATTGATCTACATTACCGCTTACAACATTCTACATCCTTACAGTCTTTGAGATTGCAGTGTCTAGTAGTTGCCCTCGGGTTGTCATCGCTTTCCGCCACTTACACACATCGTAATGTGGTTAAAAGTTCTGAATCTGTCTGTCTTCTGACGTATCGGTGCCCATTTACGGTTATCTTTGTCAATTTGGGGTGACCAGGTAATCACTGCAATGTTTTTAATGGTTTGCATTCTATGTCTATCCTACAACTTTAGATTTGCCTCATCTATAGGTGTTGTCATTGGAGGTCAAACCTCTGAACTTTAAGCCCTTTGCTAGATTTTCTTAACTGGCCCTCAAAACTCTCAACATTCTAGCTACAAGTGTTGTTGTCTGTCTTTTGTACAGAGTAGAAGTCTCCATCTGTTTCAATTGGATCTATTTGAATTCATACTAGACTCAATGTTCAATGTTTTGGTACCTGCTAACCTCTTTGTGCACCTCTTTGTTATCTGCCACAGTACATTCCACCTACAACACTTTGCAATAACAAATTTTGTCTTTGCTTTATTAGTTACTTCTTGTTTTCTAAAAATGAATTGTTTATGTCAGGTACTTTTTCATCCTGCGAGGCCAAGATGGCAGAAAATCCAGATTCTCGTCAGCTATTTGAAGTGTCGGTGAGTTAACTTTATCTGTGTTTTGCTTTGATTTTGCCTTTATTCTGCTTTCTTGAAGTATCAAGCACACAAGATTCATTAATCACCCCCTGTTGTCCTAGTTTCAGCTTTTTATGAAATTTCCTATCAAAATTGTGCTGTGTGTGACTTTGGGCTTACTTGTACACATTTATAGGTGCACACTAGTAGCTGTTCCATTTTTGACTGCTTCCTACAGTGTCAGTCAAAATTATTTCCAATCTTTAAGAATTTAGATTGTTTGCCAATTTTGTGTTTGATTTCTTTCTGCTTGAGCTGCATGTAACTGCACGGCTGACATTGCTTGCTGCCAAAATGAGATGTGCCAACAGTGTAAAGCTTGTATTGCAAGAGGGTTGTCCCCCTCACTTATTTAACTATTTGTGACTAGCCTTTAGTCTCCAACTTATGAGCCGATTCTCTATGGTATATATATTTTTCCTTTGTATGGGGGAGGGGTAACAAAACATTGTAAAGTAACAATGTCGAAGATAGTGTTAATATTCCTTTTTCCTTCATATCCAAATATATTTCTTCATTAGTAGATTCTGTTCCATCCACATAATAGTAACAGAAGATATACTTCTGTTTGCTTGACTATTGCAATTCATGTACGCACATTTCCAAACTAATTTTTTTTTTGTTCTCTTATTAAATTTGACAGAATATGTTAGATTCAGACACCCATGATCCCTGTTGGCTCCCACAAGATATATCTGAGAATGACTCATTTTGCCCAGTTTCGGTAGGTGAAAGCAAAGGGCAATATATTTATTTTTTGCCAATTGATTAGATATTTTAATTGAGACTCAAGTGTTATTAATGAAGCATGCTACTAGATATGTGACTTTAGAAGTAGTGCCCTAACTAGTTATGTAAAGGGCACTTTCTCACTCAAACTTAAGTTTGTACACCATGTCTTATTTTACAGTTCGATTCTATTTATCGCTCTAGTGTATTGGCAATTCCTAATTTTAGACCTTTTTTATTTGCAGAGTATTGCAATTAAAAATGAGCCCATTTATCACTACATCATGGATGGTGCTGGTGGGACAGGTCAATATTTGCCTGTTGTCACAATTGGTGCTGATGGCCAGCTAAGAGCCGTCACAGATCCTTCAATTTTAACAAACCAATCCAATGTCCAGTCTGTTGATGTTGGAGAAGAAGTGAGTTTAACTTAAATTTTTATTCTATGTTGAGGAATGTAAATCATTGTGGTTATTTTCTGTATTAATGTATTTACTTATGTTCTAGGTAATAGTTTTTCCAGACAAAACTACTCAGTCTGAAGCTCTCCCAGAAGGAATTGTAGAAATAGATGTGGATGCTGGGGATGAAGAAATCTCCTCAGAGGCCATAAGCATTGACCAACAAAACCAACTTCCAATTGTTACTACTTTTCTTGCACCTAATAAGGTAAATATAGAGCTAAGTTAAGGAAAAATATAACATTATGTTGTCATAATTTGAAATGATCTGTAATAACATTTCTAAATTGACTGACTTATGGAACAATTTCTTTATTTTTGTTTGCAGAATGTTACTATTGGTGGAATTCAATACATTCAAGCAAAGACAAACAAAACTTCTACTAAAATTCTGCCTGCTTCTTCTACTTCTTCCAATGTTTCTGGTGCTGGCAATCCAACCCTTCGAAAAGCCAAGTTCCAATGCAAGGTATGAACTGGCAAGAGAATCCATCTTTCTAATTATCATTTCAATGTTTCATTTTTTAATCAGGTCTTCCTTTTATGCTAACCTACAGGTTTGTCTCAAGACTTTTTCTCAACAAGTCAATTTGCAAACTCACTATCGCATTCATACTGGGGAGAGACCTTTCCAATGTCAAGTTTGCCAAAAAGCTTTCACGCAGCAACCTAATTTGTGGAAGCATATGCGAACACACACTGGTGAACGACCTTTCCAGTGTCGGGTCTGTCAGAAGTGCTTCACACAGCAAGGCAATCTGTCCAAGCATGAGAAGATTCATACAGGTCTGGTTATTTCTTCCCTTTCTTTGTTTCTTTTCTGTTTTTGTTGTAAACTTTCAATATGCTAATTATAACTGTGTTATGTAGGAGAGAAACCTTACAAATGCCCTCAATGTGAGAAAACATTTGCTCAGCGCTCAAATTTGATGACACACATCACACTTCACACAGGTAAAGATCTGCATCCACTGTGTCCCCTTTGCTTACAAATGATTAAGAATCTAATTAATCTATCTATCTATGCCACCACAATCAAATTTGCTTCAGGTGTTCGGCCTTTCAAGTGTGAAGTATGTGACAAGTCATTTGCACAGAGAGCAAACTTACTGACCCACAACATGACCCACACTGGTATGTTTGCAGAGCATCAATCTTACTTTTACAATTTTTGATCTAAAATTAGTTTTAATTCTCCATGTTCCATGTGTAATTACCTTCCAGGTGAACGTCCTTACAAGTGTGAAGTTTGTGAAAAGGGCTTTTCTCAACAAGCTAACTTGGTGAAGCATGTGCGTTTGCACACTGGAGAACGGCCGTACAGTTGCCGGTTTTGCAGCCGAACTTTTGCTCAGCAAGCAAATCTTGATCGACATGAAAGGATTCACACTGGCATAAAGCCATATGCGTGCAGCCAATGTTGGCGTGCATTTGGACAGAAGACAAATTTGCAAAAGCATGAGGCCACTCATCATCAAGAGAAAGCTTTTCCTTGCTTTTTGTGTCGCAAAGCTTTTGTGGCTAAAAACTCTCTCGAGAAACATCAGCAAAAAATGCATGCTCATCAGATGTATCCAAATTGTTGTGCTGGAAAACCTCATTCAAAGGACTGTGGGCCTCCACCAAACAACCCAGTGTCAATCAAAAAAATTCCAGGAGAATTAGACGCTAATTCTCAAAAGGTTAAAGTGGTTTCAATGGAATTGGAGGATGGTCCAGATATGGATGAGTTGGACGAGCAGCAACAAATCAAAGTTGTTCGGCTTTTAGAACCTAACGTGCTTCATCATCAGGATGATTTACCTGAACTAATTGAAGTGCACATTCCTCATATGGATGATCTGCAGTTGAGGCAGGATCTTGATGAGGAGGAGGAGGAAGAAGAAGAGGAAGAGGAGGAGGAGGAGCAACAGTACTTGGATGGTGCTACTGATGACACATCAAGTCCTGTAACTGTGTCTATTTTACAAGATGATTAAATATTATCAATTAGCCTCAGTGAACTTTCAGTGAATGTGACTTCATTTTTAAGTGGCCTTAATTAGCCAATATAGTTACCGTAACTAGTTTTTGATTTTGTGTGTAATGAAGTGAGTCATTTGTTGTCTCATTTGAGGAAACAAGTTGTTATAATAGAGGCCTTGTGCTTACCACACAATATTACCATTATGAACCTTTTACTGTTAAATAAGCAACAACATATATATTAACATATATATATCTGGGACATAGTATGTGTAATTGTTGGCCAACATGAGAGAATCTTTACAAAATTGGACTGAAATTTGTTTTATCATACAGGAATTTAAAACTGCACCACTTATAATTATTTCGTGTTTTTTTTTTTTTTTTTTTTTTTTTTTTCAGTTTATAAGTCACTCATGTCTATGCCTTTTCTTTTTAAATACATTTTTGACTGGTATTGTTGCAATCTTGAAAAATCCTGTAATATTAACCTTCATTTGTTGCTTCACCAGTCACCTTAAGGGACCATTTGTCTTTTGACTTTGTTATGTACAGTAGATCACTAGACATGTTAGCAGAATAATTATGGAGATATGGTTTCCCCAATACAAAGTATAATATTGGAAAACAATTCCTAGTCAAGTGAAATCAGCATTTTCTTGTAGGTACATTCCATTTTTATAATTTTATGTTGTTTCATAGTTCTATGATGCCTTCAGTCTCTCACTCTTTCTTCGCATCATCTCAGAGAGAACTTGCAAAAAAGTTTTGATTTTCTTAGCTCTGACTTGTCTTCCACAGCCCTGAATTGCCTGATTGTTTATCATACTGTTTTCTTTTGTTTGAAGTTTATACTTGAATGCTGTTTTTCTTACAGAAAATATTACAACTGAGGATTGTAAAAATAAATGTATTTTCCATTTCCTCATTCCTAAGATCCTATGCACTACTAGTAAAGTCCTAAAAGACACAGATTTGGGTAAGAAATATATTTATAAAAAGTTTGATACATTTATAAATACACTCTCACAAAACATACAAGGCATGGCCTTTGAGACATGCAGTCTTCAATGCTCAACATGACACAAGTTGATATACATACTTGCAATTAACAATTTGTCATTTTGGTGATAAATTCTAGGCTACAAAGAACACACATGATTCAGATTAACAGATCAAGAACTTTGATTATCAGATTCACAGGTATGCAATACATATTAGAATGAAAGCAAAAGTACAATGAACAAAAAAAAAATAATTCTAGACCAATTACTACAACAACAAAAATGAAGAAATTCAAGCAACTGGTAAGAATGATGTTTCCTTTCAAAGAAAAATCCAGAAACCAAGAACAGTAGTTAATGCACGCATCTTTATTGGTACCTCCCCTTCAAATTGATCACAGAGTCATGGCAAGTTAGGGGAAAAGATGTTTGTTAATCCTATTACATATACCTGTCTTTCTCTTTCTTAAAAATTTCATAATCATTTGATAATTTAAAAAAAAAATGGTTATAGGACAACGTGTAGTTAGTGGACAATCAGCAATTAATTAAATGTTATTGACATGTTTACCAAGAGTAATATGGCAACATGTGGAAGAGCTCTATGCATTCTAAATGTCAAAGATTGTCTACTATCACAATATTCATTAGACCTGTAACATTTAAAATATAACATTGTAATAGTAATACAGGTTTTACTTTTTGTACAAGAGAAAAATGAACACATTCACTGCCACTTACTAGCGAGCTTCCAAATAGATGATTAACTTTCTACATCTCAACAGAACAAATACACAATTATCAAAAAAATGAGATATTTTAAACCAACAATCAATAACACACAGACTCTCTTAATCATTTTTAGTACATTGTATCATTCACGTTGAACAACAGATTTATATTCTATACTTAATAAATAGTGCAACTTGCTGTCTTTGTCTTGAGGTAATGGACTAACAGCTTAGCATTAAAAAAGAATTTGGTAACTATGTAATCAGATATTGTAGAAAATTTTAATGACCAATGAGTACGAGAGGAAACAGCTCAAGAGATGAGATAAATCAAAACCATCAGCAAAAGTGGATTAATTCATAGATATATAAGATATACAGACTACAATATATCCTCCACACAAGTAGGTCTTTATCAAAGTCAAAGCTAGTATATAACTAAACAGGTTAAATTGTCAATCAGTATTCTTCAACTTGATCAGAACTGAGCTGATGACAAGCAAATTTACAAAACCTATGTCATGGATTTGGTTTCGGGGCACAAAAAAAGTTTGACATTATTAAAACTTCAACAATATCGTAGAATGAACATGATAGATACCATCTGTTAAATTACGCACTATCAATTAGAATATGACAAATGATTGAAATGAAAATGCATGATGTATATAGTACATTTTGAGCGCACAGCCCATTAATTAGGTAATGCAGGATGCAATGTAAGGTTTTCAAAAAAATAAGAATAAGAGACCTTAATAGGGCTAGTTAAAGTCATTGAAACGAGAAAGGTATGTACACATAAAACTAAAGGCAAGAGAATTTGATACTCATAAAGCTCATGAATAAATATGAACACAAAAATGTGGCTCAATCAAGACAAACTAAATTAAAACAAATACAGAATTTTAAAATGACGATACTGTAGGTATTATGTCTTGTACACTGGCAAGAAAGAAAAAGATTGTTCCTGAACAACAACAAAACAATAGGGACTACATGCATAGTTCATCGTACACTTCTTAACTTAGTTCATACATTCCTTTCCCTCTCTGCTGGCTGGTCAGTTCCCCACAGCCATAACAACCAACTTATATGTTACTGGTTAGTACATGAAATCGTTTAGATAGCATAGTCTTGAATGGCTATGAGATATCACAGGACTGAAATAACTTTACAAAACAAACACAACTTAAAACCTAGTAATTTGACAGATTGTAGTACAACATGTACAACATCTACAACATGGAACAATCATCCGCCACCTGACAATAAACCTAGAAGTAGGTCTCAAACATACAGGAAGCGGAAGCTGCGTCTCAGAAAGCTTCAACAAAGCTTGCTGGAAAAAGTCCAGTTCTACCAGTTCGCTGTTGGGTCCCTTTATACCATCCATCTTCACGTTTTCGATGAACATATATAACATCACCAACGCGGAGTTCCAATTCATACTCTGAGTGAGGTGGGTAAGGAACGACACATCGGAACCTAAAACGAAGAAAGTATTAAATTGATTAAATTTAGACAGGTATAAGGAAATGGTGATAGGAAAAGTTCATTACCGTTCTCGAGCAGGTTGAACAAGTTGTTTTGATTTCCGGCTTGACTCTCCCTGATTTGTAGTATGACCGTTTGGACCATTTCCTTGGCTACTGCCAGCATCAAGAGAATTAGATTTCCGATGATGACTGTTGGGATTTGGCACAGGTGCAGATGCAGAAACTCCCACTTCACCAGATCTGCAAATGTAATAGATAGATATCACCCAATTGATAAATTTCACTCTTAAAGTGTTGTTTTCACTTGCAAGAAATAGCCTGAAAACACTGAAAATGAGTGTTAATTTCCTAGAAAAACTAAATAATTTACAATTACGTGCAATATAAAGTGGCATGCAAATAGAAGCGGGTGCAAAGCAAAAGGGTGACAGAAAATACTGGAAAAAGGTAAAACCGATGTTATAATTACATTTAAAAAAATAGGGTAATAGCGATAATAAATACCATTTTCAACTTTTACTTTTAATTTTACATTATACACAAACCTTCCATTGAGTGAGAAATTTGATGTCACTACATTTGGTCGTTCCTTGTGACGAATTCGTTGAGAACCTCCTGCTCCAGGCACTGCTCGATGATGAGGCTGAGACTGTTGTGGGGAGATAGTTGACAACGACTCAGGAAGAGGAAGCTGAAGCAGTTGGCTTGGACATGAGCCAGACCTGCAGGGTTGTGCAGCGTAGCAAAGGAATTACATTTCAGAACAAATCCTGTTGAAGGATTTTACGAGCATTGGGGACGAAATACAGTCAAAACTCAGGAATAAAGCAGTTGTGCTGAAGCAGGACTGGACAAAGCTTGGATTGATGTACAAATAATTACATGTTGAAATTTGTTAGTTCAGCACCGTGCAGGCACCGTGTACTATTTTTTGAATAAAAGCAACTGATATCCCAGATTTGACAGTTTGAGAGAGTGCTACCACTGAGAAAGTCAATGCAGCCCCATCTCAGAAAATTTAAAATATTGAGAATTGTTTTTCATAGAATACACATGGACAAATCTACATTAGAACATGTGGTTGCCGCACATGCACATGACAGTAATAATACATAGTACATGGTGCATTTTGTGATACATGAAAACAAACAAATGTGATAGTGCACACAGCAAACATGTGCTTCATGCTGGTATTGACACATCACATACAGTAGTGGGAAAATTACATTTCACTCTACAGAGCAAAACAACTTGTCGTATGAGCTGACATGGGATCATAAAATTGGAAAAATATTTAACACATTCAGTTCGGCGTGATCACACTGTCACTGTCACGCTTCAACGGGTTCTCCAGCTGCTAGGATGCATAGCTGCACTGAATGTGTTAATTACCAAGTGAAGAGTTCTACATTCTTGTTGATAAAGAGGTCCATTTGGCAAAGTTTACAGTACTATACCTGACATGAATAGGGTGAGCTTGATGAACACTATGAACAGGAGTTCCAAACACAGATCCATCTTCAAAAACAGGATTGTCCATAGAATATGGTGGTGGTGGTGATTTAGACTTTTTCATGTTAGTAAGTCTTCGCATCAAACTGACACTACCCCGTTCCTTTTTTTCTTTGCCCTGCTCAAATAGAAAATTAGTTTCATGTAAGCTGTTCTCTTTTAGAACTCCACATTATAGGCATAACTCAACCCCCTACTAGAGACAGGATGATTTAATTTACCTTATCAGATGATGATTTAAGGGGAGTACTAGAAGGTGTAGAAGGTACAGAAGATACAACAATATTTGGGGACAGAGAACTATGTGTAGTCGCTTGAGGACTACATTGAGCTGTTTGCCCAGCTGGAGCTTGTGGAGATGTAGAGGCTGTAATTGATTAGAGAGTTACTCAAGGAAATTTTCAGGAGTCAGAAAATAGAGTTGAGAACAGCACAAAACACTCACAAGTGGCTCTAGTTACTTCAGTAGTTGTATGGTTACTTTGATGAGCTAGCCAAGACACAGAGCTAGCAGTGGTTGAACTCTGTGCAGGGCTTACAGAGCGTGGAGGCAAAGTTGGCGGATCTAATGCAACTAGAGAAATAAGTAAACAAATGAAAAACTGTGTGAGTCACCTTGTTCTCAAAAAACAGAAAACACATTAACACCAGAAACAAACAAAAACCTGGTTGTGATGGCCTGAGGTTGGTAGTCTGAGGGGATGAACTGTTAGATTTGCGATCTCTTGTATAGCTTACAGGAGACTGTGAGCTTGTGGAGGTAACAGTGCTTGTGCTAGTGGTATGAGGTGAAACTGCACCACTACTTGCAGACCGGGTAGGAGTACTGGCATTAACACTACCCCGTGGGACACTTCGGAGCTGTGATTGAACACCTGGTAAGGACCTAAATATTTTCAATGTTAGATAAATAGAATGTTCAATAGAAGTACAATATAGTTTGTGTTAATTACAGTAAACTTACTTAACAAAAGCCACATAGTTTCCAGGAAAAACTCCACTTTTCTGAGTTCGGTTTGATGTTCCTTTGAACCATCCATCCTGACACCGCTCTGTGACTGTATACACTCCACCCTTGCGAAGTTCAAGCTCATCTGCTTTTTGGGGTTTATAAGGGTACAGAGCAATATACCTGGAAATAATAAAGGGTGTGAAAGATGGCAAAATAATATGCCGATACACAGAAATAAAAACAATTAACCCATGAAATCATACGTTGCTGGGAGGTTGCTGTTATTGACAAGACAATGATGGATGCCCTGTGGAAGTGGTGGTGGAATGCTTCCAACACTAGAAAGTGGCAATTCACTGCTTCCTGAGCGTCGATGGTTGCGACCACTGCCTTGCCTAACAAATTCCCCATTTGCAGAGGGCTCTACCGTAACTCCAGTGATATCTCCAGATCCAAGAACTTCAGCTGAATGCCTAAAAGGAGTAGCAAATGACATTTTTGAAGGTTAAGAGGAATTTTTCATCGGTGTTGAACATTCAATAGGTAGAATTTATGTTAAACTAAAATAAGGGTTACCTGTTTGAGGTGGCTTGATGAGTAGGCGTGGAGAGGGGAGCAATGAGACTGTGTCGCTTGCTGCTTTCATGAGCAGTACTTGTTGCAGTGCTAGTCGGTCGAGAAGACCTTGTTTGAGGACTCCAAGCCGATGCTGACGGGCGAGGTGGAGGGGAGGCAGGAGATGAGGGTGTGGTACTAGAGCTAGAGCTTGATGAAGTGCTACTTGTATTGGGAGTTGTAGAGCTTGACGAGATTGATGAGCTAGAGTCAGTTTGGGGCTAGAAGTTCAAACAAATAAAATAAAATAAAGAAATTCAAAAGATTAATGAGAAATAGTTCATGTTTCAATAGCACTTACAAAATTTGCAGCAACACTTAATGGTGGCTTGGGTACTGATTGAGTTGAGAACTGGGTTTGATTTTGGTGAGCTGCTGCCTGCGAAGATAAAGCTTGAGGCAGTTGTGGCTGGATTTGATTTAAGGTTTGACTATGAGGCTGCAAAGTTTGGGGTGAAGGTTGATGCAGGGCCTGAGATTGGCCTGCCGGCTGAGGTGACAAGTTTTGAGGCTGTGATGGTACAGCAGCATGTGTGTGGTCAGTTGGTATAAGAGGGGTTGTTTCCTCAGTTGTTGGAGTTGGTGGAGCAAGCCTGGATGGCCCAGGTTGGATACTAAACACAAAAGATGAGTCAGAAGAGAGAATCATTTTAGTTTACTTCCCAGCAGAAAGATTACGGTGCTCAAAGTCCCATAAGTAATTGTAAACTTACTTGGAAGATAATTTCATAAAAGCACGTGCAACACCATTCATTTCAACAAATGCTATGGGGAAAATTCCTACTCTTTCACCTAAACGGCCTTCAGCCCAATTTTCATCAACTCTTCTTATTACAGTAATGATATCTCCCTGGATAAGAAAAAAGAGAAGAATTATTATGGGTCAAACTGCATTCTCCACACAGTATTAATTTTTTTTATTAAATTTCGAAGTGACCAGTGAGATGATCAAGCTTAGAAAAGAGATTTAAATTTACAAACCTTAGAAAATGTTAAACAACCCTCTTCTTCATCATTTGTCATTCTAAAATCATATAGAGCTTTACATTGTGGTATGTTCGCAGGTGGAGGCATTATCTAAACAGTAGAATAAAGGTAATTGAGCAAACTACAGAACTGTAGGTAGCAAATTTTCATTGTTTCTATTTCTCATAAATTCAACCATAAACAAACCTGCACATAACATATTGGAAATACACCATGCACACCTCCAATTTCACCATGGTACCAATTCTGATCAACTTGTTTCTTCAGTGTAATTATATCTCCCTTTTTAAAGCTTAAATCCCTAGAAAATAAAATACAATAATAAAAAAACTTTACATAGATCATGCAATGTAAGTTTTTCATTTTTCTCACTAAAATCATACCCAGGTTCCTTGGATATGTAATCATACACAGCTCTTGCACATGGTTGAGTTAGGACAGGAACCTAGAAAAAGTAAATTTAATTTAGTAGTTCAGCAGCATTTTAACAATCATTTTGTTTCACCTAACTTACTTGTTTTGTGTTGGAATGACTCCTTACAGCATTTTCAGAGGAAAGGGGTGCATGTTGCGACACAGACGCAGGGACAGCAGCTGCAATGGTTGTTGGTGGAAAAATGGTTCCAGAGACAGGTTGAGAGTGTGATCTTTGATGGTGTATGGCTGGAGCACCACTACTTCTTCGTTTCGGAGCAGCATTTCGCATACCCTCCAAAATTCGCATAAGTAGTACATTTGGAGGCAAGTCATCTATGCTTGTTTCGACCAGCACACGGCACTCTGGGCATCTGAGTTCCTTTTTGGTCACATGGATTTCCTCCAAACACTTCTTGCAAAAAGTATGCTGACATGGTAATACTTTGCTTGATGTGTCTAGACGTTCCAGACACACTGAACATTCTAGCAAGTCGTTTAAGGTCCATTCATCCATGCTCAAATACGTTGAAGGAGAATTATAGCAACAGTATTCACTGGTACTGAATACAAGTATTTATCCATACTGGATTTCCAGATGTTGCCTGAAAAACAGAAAGCTAGAGAATTAATACACTAATAGGTACAACCCCATAGTAAGGTGTAATCCGTGTTAACATAGAGAAAAAAAACATAGTTTTCTACGATCTATTCTAAACTTGGAACATGTACAAAAATGATGTTCCATTGGGCCAACTGGCAAGGTGCCAGGGAAGCTGTGCCCCATTTTCAAACATATAAACCCCATACCCCATTGATACACTACCTATACTTTAACCCATGATTTCCTATTGAATGGTAGTTGGTAGGAAGATAAATTAATTTATAAATATCAAAGAAGAACTTTGAAAAAGAACGATCGGATTAGAGTAGGACAAAAGTTTTGTCAGCAGAGAATATGCCCAAAGTAGTTGATGACCTCTACAGACTATTGGTTGTGAAAGGTGTATCTAGATTAAGAGAAGTGATCAATCAAGACTAGCGACTACAATGTATTGTTGAATAATCCAAACAATAAAATTAACTTTCAAACAACATGAATTTTCCTATTTTTTAGTTTGTATGGAATGGTACTGCTACTCACATTTGCATAGAAGGAACGCAATTAACGTTAGTGAAAAGTAATTGCGAGAAAGAAAGCAGAACAGGGCCTAGTCAAACTGAGTTCCGCACATCCCCACTGGTATCCACTTAGAGTGAATGGAAAAGCGAGAATTATTTTGAATTGACCACTTGACATAAAAGTTATAAATCAGAATAAGGAACAAGTAATGAAAAAAAAATATAAGAGAGAACCAGTTGGTCAACAGCACAAGCTACACGTCATGAGAATGTACTATGATAGAATGAAATAAATCTAATCAGATGTAGAATTAGTCACATCCGCCTGGAAAGGTTAGGAATGACAGTCCACACCCAAATCAGTAATGGGTCGTCTCTGATCTCTAGTAAGTCGTCTGAAAAGATGCGAGGGCAGAGACACACTTCCTGAAGTTTCGAGCCACTTCACTACTTGTAGTCCAAAACCACCGGTAGAATATAAAGAAGACACTACTTGTCTAATGTTGGTTTTCGTTCCAGGTAAAGACACTCAGTCTAAGCTCAGACCACTGCAGCACAAATTCACTAGAAGAGACAACTTAGGTATGCAATAACTTCTAGCCGAATTGAAGCCCTACCTAACAAGAGGATCGAAAGTAGCGAAAAGGACCTACATCAAATATTAAATTAACCGAATATGAGACCGTCTAGTACACAAGTGCTGAAACTAGTCGGTACTCACGGTTTGCTTTCAGATTATGTCAAAACATAGTAGCCACTACAATAAAGAGCAAAAAAGGTACTTACTGAACTATCGACATGACGCTCGCGTCCCAAATTTCTGTTAAAAACATATACTTAAGGGTAATTGGCTGAGTGCAGACTAAACTAAACTATAAATTACATTACTATCCTATCTAACGAAGCCACCATTCAGAGCAGAAAACTCGCCGCAATAGGTTGCTGCCAACCTAACAGTGAATACAAAAAAAAATGTGTTGAAACAAATGCAGTTTTACTCGTCTGAGTTTGCCTAACTAACGCTTACACTTCGTTTAAAGGTTTAGTCAAATATAGAGCCCTTTTAAAGCGATTGGTTCAGTTTTGGGGAGATTTAAAATATTTAGATTTTTCAGATAAAATTTCCATTTTGATATGTTGGTACACTTCGTTCTGCGGGGGGGTACCGGCGTCTGCTAGCATTTCAAAAGTATTTTAGCAGTTTAAAGGGAAATTAGATAAAGTGAAGATTTAATTAACGAGGAAAAATAAGAATAAGAAGTAAGAATAATGTACAAGTTACGACGTCACTAAACAACCTACATACAAGTGATCATGTTAGGTTTGGTAGGATTCTGTTTAAATACAAACAGTTTGTTAGGAAGTAGTAGACATTCATGTAGCGTTTGATTTTGAACCTTTTCAGAGTTGTTAATCTAAATGACATGTGGATAGCGATAATTTGCAAGATGCCATTGTGATAGATTGAATAGTGACATTTCATTTTGAGTTTGGTCACATTTTAGTTGATCGAGGTTTTAACCAGATACAAGATTCAAATTCGTGACAGTTCAATTCATTCGGTATAAATTTCCCTTTTATGCAGTGACAAGCTGACAGTTGACATACAATGTGGTTTGTCGTTATGTTATAGGTTTTGTTTTTGGATTATGTTGATCAATGACATCTAGCATTGAGTTATCCAATTAAAGTTTGTGTTTCATTCTGAATTTTAATTTGCATCAATGAATTCACCCTTTTATGAAGAAACAAAAATTATAAGCAATTTCAATAGCCTTTTTTTGGGGAAGGATCTTCAAGAACAAGAACATACAATATATGTCAGACTTGATTAACAGTTGCTTATTTTTGATTAGAATCCATTAAATTTTCTGCATCGTGCATTATGAATCTTAATTGGCATCCAGCGAATTCACCCTTTTATCAATCATGAACAAACAGAAATTAAATGCATTTCCTTACATTGGTTTTACTTAGTTTACATCAATAATTTCACCCTTCTATGAATTGTGAACAAACACAAACTAGAAAGAATCTGACGGTTGTCATTGAGTATTACTTTTAATCAACAAAAGTTTAAGAATTGGAATAGGTTTCTTCACAATCAGAGGTCAAAATGAAATCCTATAGGATCAAATCCTATACAATCAAATTTACTGATTTCATTGAGTAGTAGTACCTTTAATTGACTTCTATGAAGTCACCCTTTTACGGACTGTGAATTAAGATAAAGTATAAGGAACTAGAATAGGTTTTACTCACAATCAGAAGTCAAATTGAAATCCTTCCATCAGATTTAGTGATTTACAGTTTTTATTGACTAGTACTTTTAATTGATATCTATGAAGTCACCCTTTTACGGATTGTGAATAAAGACAAAGTATAAGGAACAATCAGAAGTGATATTGAAATCCTTCAATCAGATTTACTGACTTACAGTTTTCATTGATTAGTACTTTTAATTGACATCTATGAAGTCACCCTTTTACGGATTGTGAATAAAGACAAAGTATAAGGAATTAAGATAGGTTTAATTCACAATCAGAAGTCAAGTTGAAATTTTTAGAGTATTTTGAATTTTTAAATTTATTTCAGTTCATATAAATCAGGAGACACACTCAGCCTTTAATGCACAGCGTTCTACCAGTTCTAAATACGCGAAAATTACGACTATTTGCAGTAAAGCAGGTGACAATCATCGTTGTCAGATCATCTTTCACGAGACTAAATCCACCTTGATGTACGGTTGTCGTTGAGTATTAATTTTACTGTGCATCTATGAATGCACCCTTTTATGAATTGTACAATCAGATTTATTGAATTGTGTGTTTTGAATTTTTAATTGACATCTATCAATGCACCCTTTTATTGATCGTAGTAGTAATTTTTAATTGACATCTATCAATGCACCCTTTTATTAATCGTGAATAAAGACAAAGTAATTAGAATATAGGTTTTATTCACAATCAGAAGTCAAATTAAAGTTTTCATAAATTTAGAAACACACTCACACTCAGCCTTCAATGCACAGCATTCTACTAGTTTAAACGGAATTCCACACGAAAAATTCCTCATTCCACCTGTCTCGGTTCGGTACGTGCAGGTACGTGTTTGTGTGCCTATGCTAGTCTGTTTACCGTCAAGCAGACTACAGACCGGAACCTCCAACGAAATAACGAAATAGCACTGGCGGGAATTTCAATAATGGCTTGAACCGGCTTCGGGCAGAATAGCAAATACGTGACGTCACTGCTGGGCGCCGAGTTTGAATTCTCCACTTCCGAATCCCATGACTGATGATGAAATTAAAGGATGAGCAAAACCATAATAATTGACGGTCAGCGTAAGGGCCGTTCATATTACGTTTGAACGGCCTTAAACCATCTGCCCCTCCCGGGCAGCATAATGCTTAATGGCTGCGTTACGTATATACCCAATCTAAAATGCGCATTTGAGACATATAATGCAGCCATGATGCAGTTTTGCTGGATTTGCTGCCTGGGCTTTCCCCCTATCCCTCGGAGGCTGGAAGCCGGTTTTAGTAAAGCCGGAAGCCAGTGAGCCGCACCGAGACCGAGACAAAATTGTTAGTTATGTCCTTCACAAAAACGCCTGTTGGGTAGGCAACATGTTTCATACTTACCTTTCGTAACAGGTGCCCCAAATATTTATTCTTGACACGAAGAACAAACCGACCGGTCGGTAAAGAAATGTGTACAAATAGAACCGCCAAGAATTAAGGCAGCGTTTTTGGTTTGCCTGCAACAGGTCGCGATAGGGAATTCCCGAAATGTCAGTATTGTTCTTGTATAAGAGAGGTGTATCCCCTCCCTTATATACCAGGTGGCTGATTAACCCCGCGCACTTCTGTAGTTAGACTGTACCGCACGCACGAGTGCGAGCGGGCTTGCCTATCGCCCCTGTCCACGGCGCCTTACGGGCCG